TAACCCGAGGTTGCGACTATTTCCATCCTAAAACTAAGATATCTCTCATAATAGACATATTAGGGAATGTCTTAGGACTTTGAACTTGCTTAGACATAAGTCAAGTGAAAAGCGTAGTCGTTGGTTCCTAAAGTAAAATGCATATCGTCCTTAGCATATCCTTGATTCTTCGTTGGCTAACTTGAAGTAATTCGGGCTAGGTTTTATCATTATAAGTCCAAATCCCAAATCCAAAACCATTATTTGTGACCACTTCCCATTTTACAAGAATCACTCATTTCAACATTCACTATTCTTTAAAACTTTAGAGTTTGGAAATTATTTAGAAGTCCTTGAGGATCGATACTTGGATACTCCATCCATTTTATATTACTCTGACAGGTGTGCGCTTGCATCTATATAATTGTTACCACGCTTAGTGCGTGCGTTCAGCAAAACGCCAGTCACTGGGGCATTCAGATGCACCGGAGGTAATGCTTTCCCACTTCGCAAAGTGAGGGCCTTGTATTGTTCCTTACCATCTCTTTTTGGCACTTATGTGTCGCTGGGTAATGCTCCAATCGGTCTGCTCTTCAGATCCGTAGCTAATTGGCCTACTTGCAATTCTAGGTTCCTTAATGATGCAACTTGGCTTTGCACAGTGGCATCATTATTGGCCATGTATTGCTTCATCGGCTTTTCCAATGATGCAAATGATCCTTCGGATTGCCTATGTGCTACCACCTGTCCTTGATTTGCAAAACCAGGAGGATAACTTACCTTCTGCTGAAATGTTGGAGCATTGGATGTTCCCGCATTGTGTCCACCTTGATTGCCACTCCAACTAAAATTAGGGTGATTCCTCCAGCCAGGATTGTACGTGTTCGAATACGGATTGTTTCTATTATTCTACGGGTTCCCCAGATAATAAACTGACTCCGGATTTCCAGGGCAGTTGTTGTAATGGTGGTCTCCTTCGCAGAAAGAGCAAGAAATTCCTTGAATTTGATTAACATTAGCCATACCAACTGATGCTCTAGTTGGACTTTGCTGCGTCATACTCCTCATTACCAAGTCCGTCACATTCTCAATCTTTGAATTCAATGCAGTATATGATTCAGACTCAACCAGCCCCTTACTCGATTTTCCTTGAACAGCTCTGGGATCAGACCATGAGTGATTGTTTGAATGCTTCAGCATAGTGTTTTGCTAGCAAAGCCCCATTTGCAGACGCATCCATCACTAGGTGTGTGGCATCATCCAAAAGCTTTGTAATATGTCTCTATTTGTATGCATCTTGGGATCTCATGATGAGGGCACCTCTGCAATAATCGTTTGAACCGCTCCCAGGATTCACTGACTGATTCCCCAGCAAATTGCTGAAAATTGTTGATCTCATTGCGATATTTAGCATTTTTGCTAGGTGGGAAGTACTTCATCAGGAACTTCTCAACCAAGTCATCCCAACTTGTAATAGATTCTGAATGAAGGGACTCCAACCACGTTCTGGCTTCATCTCTAAGTGAATACGGAAATAGCTTATGCCTCAACACTTCTTTGCTCAATCCTTCATCCTTGAATGAATTGCAAACTCCCATAAAGAATTTCAGATGCTGATGCGGGTCCTCCGTAGCATGTCCATGAAATTGACCCACTGTCTGAAGCATCTGAAACATCACTGGTTTCAGCTCAAATTTGGAAGCTTCAATTTCTGGTTCCGTGATAACTGGGTTGAAGTTGTAAAATGCCGGAGCTGTATATGCTCTGATTTCTCTATCGATGTCGTTTGCTAAGAGTACAACATTGAGATGGGGTACTGCTACATCAGGATGAGCAGCGACAGGAACCCCGTCTACTATTTCCTCTATTCTCACATTTGGCCTTAAAGGCACATTAGGCGGAACCGACTGATTTACTCTGTCCATATTGGCTGCCGCTTGTTGTCGCCTCTGCTCTCGTAGATTTCTGTGGAGGGTGCGATCTATTTCGTGATCAATAATATATTCTAATCCTTCGTAATCGTTCATGCACCTCGCAAAAACACACAGCAAAATACAAACGTGAAAATGAGAAAAATCACTTCAGCACCATATCTACAAAAATCAATGTTAAAATAAAATCGCAAAAAATCCCCGGCAACGGCACAAAAAACTTGTTGCGTCCACACAACTGTGTCGACAATGCGTGCAAGTATACACGAATAGTCAATTGTAGTACATAACGAGATCGTATCCACAAGGATTTTTGGTTTATATTTTAATGATAAAAGCATATACCAACAATTAAAAAATATACAGAGTTGAGTATGAATATTATCTAGCAGAATTAAAACAAAGGAATAACAGGACGATAGAACGTTGCAAGAGACAACAGTTTCAAAGCTATCGACGCAAGGAAATAGCAGCACAGGAAGCGATAATGGAGGATTAAAAGATATGAAGGTGGTGGGGGAGATTCAGCATATTTTAACACGTTCTCAACTAGCGTAGCTAACATTTATTAGTGCCCAGTTCGACTCGGTTTCCTTTTGAGACACCCCAAACATGAGTAAATACAACTTCCGTTGTTAAATACCCAAGCACTAAATCCAAACTATAGGCATGATTAGGGGACCTCATTCCTGAGTATCCCTATAGCTATAGAAAAGCGCTAATCACAAGCAAAACAAATCAGTAACCACAAGCCCTTCTGGGTCAATATCGAAGCTAGCATACACGAAACAGCGGCCAACAGTAACGCGAAGAATTGAAAAAAAAATTCAGATTTTCTTAAAAATAAATGTAACATGCTAGAGATTCGGTCTCAAGTCAGTTACAACGTGTGAACCTCCCCCGAAATGGGGTTTAGCTCATAATGGATGAAGAAAACAAAATGGAAGAAGAAGAAATACAACCCATAGTAGAAAATTAGCTAAATGACAAAGAAGAAGAGCAGTCAGCGCAAAGCAGCAGACGAGCTTCCCCTTTCTGGCGTCAGCTCTCTTCCCGAAAATGGGTATATTCCATCCCTTGGTCTTTTCAGCTCTCAAATTTTGTCTCCCTTGGGATCTGCGTGTCCGTTGGCTATGGCAACCTTTCCTTTAAATATCGGGTCCTGTTTTTAGGGCACCCGACTGGGTATTGAATGGACATAAGTGAATCTCGTGTTTTTTAATTAACTTTATAGACACTCATGCCCTGATATCACTATGCTCCAGCGTTTATATGCTCCAACTTGACAATGCTTTGGCTTTTCCTCTTTGGTTCAGCACTTCTTTCTCTTATCGGCTCCTTCTTAAAAACATGTGCAAAAGAACCATAAATACGAGAATTTATGCTGTTTTTGGCCAAAGTTCTCAAGACTAAATATTTTTAGTTATGAGTGTGCAATTAAACACTATTTGTGCTAATTACGACCTAAAACCGACACACTTTGACATTTTAATGCACATGTTCACCTAAATAAACACCAAAATAACTCTCTTTTGGAGAGTTATCAGTTGCCCAGGGGTCAATCAAAACAATTACCTCCTTCGTGTTAATGCACCCACGATTATGTACTCAACCCTAATACAAGTGACTTAGGCAACTCTTGTAAGAACAAGCACCTCCTAAACACACATCGCAACAC